ACTGTTCTAGATTCCCAGGATGTTTCCCTCTCCCCCTCCCAGGTGGGTACACTTTCTAAAAAAAAAAAGAAAAAAGAATGCCTTAATGCAAGATCCAGGAGCATTTTTGTTGATAAAGAAGATGCTAAAAGGTGGCTTCCTTTGCAGCAATCTAGCTACTTCTTTAAAATTTAAAGAACATGAAAGATGTTTAGAAAGTCGGGGGTGCAGTGGGCTTGGTGGGGGTCAAGGGAAATAGCTGAAGGTCTGTTGGCGCTTCACAGGGAGCACACCGGGGGATCACGGGCATGGAAAGCTGTGAGTAAAACGGACTGGAAGTCTGGCTCATTATAAGACAATTGGTTGGTTCTGTCACAGATATTCTAGCTCTACTCCACTGTGGCTGCTTTGCTGCATCAAGGCATAGCTGCTGCCTCTTTCCTTGAGGCAGGATGTTCTAAAGCCAGCCAAAGAATTGGCAGACTTTGCCTATAACATCTTCAGCACAAAATACTTCATGCTGTTGACCCAAGTGACAGTATTGTCCCCAACTGGACGAGGAACGGAATTCCTCTGCCCTGCGCTAAAGCCATCCTTTTTCAAACGTAGGAATGTTGCAAAGACTAAGTCGGTCATTCTCCCTTCCCCATCCAGCCAGATATTAAATAGAAAGTGTGGATGTGGTGGTGGTGGGGACTGTTTTGCAGAATGTTCCGTGGAATAGCTGATCCAGCCCTGCCCACAGGAAAAAGGCAGAGGAGGAAATACCCTTTCCTTCCCAGTAGGACCAGAACTCCATGCCTCTCCCTTCCGATTCCTCGCTTATTGTTTGTGAATTAAAAATATTTGTGTTCCACTTGACAGCGGGACTCAAGGCTCACTGTAAATGAACTCACGATAGGAGAGATCAGGAGAGGTAGTGATAGAAAATAACTCCCCAAGTTTAGAGTTTCCTCCCTGTCCCTTCCTTCAACTTGATACGATGGAAAAGTAGAATGACGCTGCTTCTGTTGGCTTGCTCACGGCACTGCCTATACATCAGGGATGCAGCATGCATCAGCAAGATGCACATAACCTTGGGTTCCTTTTTAGCTGGCCCTGGATTTTACCAGTTGCACCACTGAGCATCCTAGGAAGGAAGAACAGGAGCCTTCAAATGCCGTCCCGCACTCTTAATACCTGGGCAGCAGGCTGAGCAGATTCAGGGGCTACTTGTTGACCCTCTCCCACTTAGAGAATGAAATGTATTATGTTTATAATTACAGTAGAGTAATTTCTAAATCTACATCTACAAATAAACATTTATAAACGTATGCAGATTCTATGTAACCTGCATTTGAGGTGATAGATAAGTCACCAAGGGAAAGGGCACACATTTTGTGCTTAGTGAGTCAAAAGCACTTGTTCTTCTCCCCTTAATTGCATGTCTCCCTCTTTGGAAGAGTGTAGTGTAGCTCCAGACTGGAGATGAGTAGGTTGTTTGTATTGTTTCTCATTTTGAGCTTGTTTTCTAAAGCACCTTTCTGGTCACCGCCACCTCTCTTTGTTCTCTTCACTTTGGCTTTGGCCTGCAAAGAACTTATAAACACATGAACATCTCCCTCATCAGTTTTAGAAGTTCACGGAGATCAGAGACTTTTTGCTCTTGAATCATAGAGCACCATATGAGAAGCCATTGCCTGCATATGCTGCCAGGATAATTTACTAATTGCTGCCTTCATTTCCTCCTTAAACAGAAGACTGCTGGAAATTCGAAAAGATAGAACTCTATGTGTGTTGTGTTGGTGCTGGTGAAAATGATATAGACATGTGATATATACAGCCTTGAAGAATAGTGTGTAACATCACGTCATAGTTACACTGTGAGAGAAGGATGAATAAGAGTAAATAGAAGACTGCTTGGAGTTGTAATGACTAAAGTGGCATAGAAACACAGGGAGGGAGGGAGGGCTTGCAAACACAAGTTATGGGATGAAGTTGAATTTTTGTTATGATAGGAGTTTCTTATTGATAACATGTACCTAAAGCAGAGTCTGTCTGTCTGTCTGTCTGTCTGTCTGTCTGTCTGTCTATTTATTTATTTATTTATTTATTTACAATCCAAGACCAAGTCACAGAATTTAAAAATACAGCACACCATTAATACA